ATCATCTACTGTGTTAACGTTTTGTTCCATTGTAGTAAGTGAGTGCTCTTGGGTTCTATTCTATGCAATCACCTGCAAACACATTAACATGATAGCACAGAATTACGACATTCTTTTTCTTTTGAGCCTAAGTATTGAGTGTTTTGCTTCCACCTGCGGTGCATAAAATGAATGTTATGTCGAAGAGGTGACACTGAATATAGGAGGGGTTTTTCTCTTATTCAAACGCCCAATCCGAATTATGTGGGCATTTCTATTGAAGAAAAAAATCATTTGCAAGCTTAAATGAGTAAAAGAAATTATCAGCAGTCTTGTAGAGCTCGGAGTTTAGGTACGGTTCCATACTTAAAGCACTAAATTTTCCACGAGTTGCAATTCAGTTGGCCATTTTTAAATTTGCACAAGCCAAGTAACTTTTCAAAAAAAATTTGAAATTTTATGAGAGATAAAAAAAAACTTGAAGTTAAAGTTATGTGGCGTGTTCGCAATGCAATAAATTCGCTTTTTGTTTATCATGGCAATAACTATTCACCAAAATTTCTTTCTTGCCCAGTATTATAACAACAATAACTGTTTATAATAAAGATGTACACAATAATTATTAAGGCATGAAAACTTTCAGTGCACCTTTGCATCGGAGGTCAAAGGTCATTCTACCTTCGAAACAAAGCTATTTTCTTATATTATGACCGTTAAAATCTGTTTGAACCAGACGCAAAACACTAAGGTATATATTTCCGAGGATACACATTAATAAACTGTACCAAAACAAAAATAAACACAAGTGTGGTGTGCATTTGGAGTGTCCTTAAAATTGACACAGGAAACTGAAACTTCGCGCGAATTTCAAGGTCATTAACTGCCTCTCCCAAAATTAGAAAAATATAAAATTCGCTGGTAAAGAAGCCTTCAGTTTAACAAAAATAAAATCAATTCTGAGAACTATAGTTACTGATTCAACTTTTATATAATATGGCCGTAAAGTTAGAGAACCAAACCTGATTAAAGTTGTTGTTGTTGTTGCTAATTCCCATCTGGTCTGACGGGGTCAGACCAGATCAATGAATCCGTTGATATTAAGAAAATCCGAAACCAGAATGGGAGAGGAATGAATGTCGTTCCAGTCCAGCCCTAAACAGTTCAAGATGTGCTCAGGTGATGCCTGGTTTTGTTGGCATTTAGGGCAAAGAGGAAAGATCTTTTGATTTGCAGTTGACAAATGAAACCTGAGTAATTGAACACACAAATAGTTATAGAAAAGGTGTAAACTGTTTTAAAAGTAAATATAATTTAGATCCAGTGAAAAATTCGAACATTAACACTCTCTCCGAAGTGAGCTTTAGTCTCTAAATAGAATTTATTTAGAGGGAGAGAGTTTGACGTGTTATTCAACGCTTCATGTGCAATTTTTTGCACTGAATCGAAAAAAATTATACCCAAGTCAATATGACAAATAGTTAAGAAATTATCTTTATACAGAAACAGAACAAATTCTGATTCATACATATTTGTACGTACGCTAACTAGGCAAGTGAGTAATTTATTTCTATGTTTTTTGAGCTATCTGTAGTTTTACTTCAGTTTACTAATAGTTTAAAAGTTGCAAAAGATTTGTGAGCGAAAAATACTACTATGTAATTTTTTGCATTTACTTAGTTAAAACTTTTCTGAATTTCAAAACAGTTAATAAACTGAAATGTTTCTCATTTATTGCTAAACAAAGATTTGAATTATTGCTTTTATTGCCTAGATAGCAATGTCATGTTCATAAATATGCTCGAGACAGAATTCGCTCAGTTTCTATATAAAACTTAAATATTTTCCTAACTCTGAGATATATAAACTTAGGAAGGATTTCATCTTATTCAACGTAAGTAATTACACCGAAAAAATATACATCATTTGCCTAGAAAATTAAATTTTGTGACGAGTGAATTTTGTCCCCCTTGGACAATTCTAGATCGAGACAAAAGCTCGGGATAGATGCTGACTTCAGATATACATACTGGGCTTAAATCATATTTTTAAAAACAATTTACTTCTTTTCCATAACTATTTCTTTATTCAATTACTCAGGTACAGCCTTTAAAGTTTAGGGCCATATTATTAAGGTTTCCTTTTCATCAAATTTCATACTTTACTAGTTTATAATAATCTTGCAATTGTGCAAAGCTTCAGTTTCTTGCTACTCAAAGCTCAATTTTCAGATCATGTCAAATGTACTCCACACATGTTTTGACTTTTCAGGTATTTCTTTTTAGTATGTATTCTTTTTCCATTAGTATGACAGGCAAATACAGGCCATATTTGTACCAACTCATCGTTTGCATCGAGCTCCATCAGGCGATAGGTTTGTCCATCTATAGATGCCTATGCTTTAAGATCTTATTCCCCAGAATCATTCCAACTGGTTTTTGGTCTCCCCCTTTTTGATTTCCTGCAAACATTCCAAAAATCATCCCTAACTGGGCCACCATCTTCTTTTATTAGTATGTATTAACAGAAATGTGCACCTTTGTGGTTCACAGTTGACACAAGTAGATTTTGAAGTTCAAAGTCTAAGAAAATAGCCTTATTTTGAATGATCTTACACCTTCAATGCAAATGCTCACGCAAAATAATTATGACTTAAAAGTTAGTAGAACACTTCGAAGTAGTAGAACACAAAATATTGTTCAGTACAGTAGCTCAAGAAGTCCACAAAATTATTAGCCCTTATAATCACTATCCTTGTTCTCTCAAAATTCAAGAAGTTCCTCAGACTTAAACCAATTAAGACTGAGAAAAATATTATTTTTCATCAGAATAAAAAAAGACCCGAGTTTAATAATTTTACGTGAAGAACATATTTTAAAACTTTTAACTCAATCAAAAATTTCAAGTATCCAACCTTGCCTAAATGGCCCAAAACCCGCAAAATATTTATAATAGAAAATATTTGCCACTCGAAAAATTCCTCTTTGATACGTTATTGTTTAATTCAAAAATTACTTATTTAGACTAAGTATTTATAAATTTATTAATTAAAAAAATTTTTAAAAATAATATTTTGAAGAGTAATAAAGAATTTATTAAGAAAATACCATAAAACTAATTAAGAATTCTTTGTACAATTCTGTATACAAACTTAAGTTAATAGTAACTATATTCGGTTAAATTTCAAAATAATCGGATAAAAATGGCAAATATTTTTTTTAAGTTTCAAATGACTATTATCCAGTTTCTTATTATTCATTTAATGACTTTCCGTTTGGAGTGTATGACATTCAATATCCTCCTCTCACAATAGATGAAAAGCCTTTTCTGCACTCTCTTAAAGGTCAAGCAAGGAAAAATAAAGGCAATATATGGATATCACATCACAGATCAGGAAAAAAAATATCAAAATTGATTGAATTTAAACGCCGATATCTCAAAGACCAAAATCGAAAACTTTGAGCCTCTTTATAAACCTATTTCTTTCCAATTCTCTACTGCAATTGTGCGAAAAAGGGAAAAAAGAATTCCAAAACTTTAGATGCCATTTTAAGTCGTAACTTTAGATGCCATTAAGTATAGAAGATTGCTTTGCATAGAAATAATATTACAGCGTCATAAAATTGGCGAACTGGCTCAAGTTGGCTGACATCAAGTTGGCAAAAACTTGAGGATTTATAATCGAATGAGGTTACGAAATATTGTGAGGATTTTCCTTTTTTTTTTTTTTATATCCGTCGTTGAGCAGTCAGCCCAATTTTGGGTTTACGACTACCAATGTTCAACTCTGTAGCCTTGTAATTTTGAACCAACCCAAAAGACAAAGAAACTCCGTGATCTGTACCATCAGAGATATTAATTTGTTATGGGAACATGGAGGACTTCGCGACTCGATAGATTTAACGTGCATCAGTCACCATTTACCATCGGCGGGGATTGAACTCACGAACTCTTAGACATGGTTCCAGTGCCTTACCAACCAGGCTATCCCGGCCAGTGTGAGGATTTGTGAAGAATGCCGCCTGCTCTTTCCTTTTTAGTCAATGGTTTACAATCATTTTGCTGCGTCATGCTCTGAGTCACCGTTTTCACAGAAAGAATTTTCATGAAAATGACTATACTACATTGAGAACTACAGAACGACAACGCATGCATAAACTGACACTCCTCTCTTTCATTTTTAACAGGTCCAAGCATGCATATTTGCTTCACACTAAATTTACTGGCATTATTTTCATACAAAACCTTCGTTTATAGGCCTTTATTTACTTTTATTGTCCAAAATTATTTTAAAAATTATTCATAAAACCAAGAAAAAAAATTTCAAAAAACCTAATACCTTTTTTAGAAAGCATAAAGGATTGAGAGCAGATTGACACTATTTCCTCGTTTCATATACACGTTCCCTTTTAAAAAAGGTAAATCAAAAAATTTGAAGCATGAAGAACGCATTGCTTTTATCATCAATAGAAAGAGGCATTTAAAAATAAATTTGAATCCTTTGGGGTTTTTCTGGAATTTAAAAGAAAAAGATTGATTCTACCCCACATTTTGAGGTTTCAATTGGACTGCGTGGGGCCGGGATAGCCTGGTCGGTAGGGCGCTGGGCCCATGTCCAAGAGTTCGTGGATTCAAGCCCTGCCGACCGAAGACTCCCCTTGTAGTAAAGTGACTGATGCACGTTAAATCTGTCGAGTCGCAAAAGTCCTCCATGTTCCAATAACAAATCAATGCTTCTGGGGGTACTGGATTGGAGATCGATCGTTGTCTGATTCAGATCAAAATTACGATCTGTGGATGAATGAATAGGTCCACCCTATGAACGGGTACGACGCATGGTGTGGCAGAAGTCGTATTCTTGGCCATAGATGGCGCCACTGGAAAATAAGAACAATCGCACCCCCTCTGCCTAAACAGGCATACGTCAACAGCAAACACAATTGGACTGCATGAAAACCAACTACATGTATCCAAGTTGATAATTTAATGAGTTGTAACCCTAGATTGGTAAAAATCATCAAGAATCAAGTCTGAATGTTTTTTTTTTAATATCTTTAACATGCAAATCATGCATTGCTTTAAACATTAACACATCAATACATATTTTAACAACAGTAAAGAACATCAAATATATTATTAAAAGTCCAGTTTGGATGGAAGAAGGATTTGAAGGATTCATTGAACAAGATTATTTCCATATAAGCTCTTATTATGTATATCTGGACGATGATGTGTCCACGATGGAGCTTACATTATTTGGTTGAGATACACAAAACACTTTCATGCAACAACCAAATCTGCTTCGGAATTCAGAGTTAAACTTTTCCTGAAACAAATACCGTATTTATTTACGTTAGATTAGAGCATGAAAAATTTTCCAATCAGAATATGATGAAGATTCCAAATAGAACAAAAATACAGACACAGATTAAAACGTGATAAATACTCTAATTACTTCATAAAAAAAACTTCTTTAGATATTGATAAGTACTCCCTTAAAGATGTATTAAATACTAAAATTACATATTATAAGACTTCGCAAAGGACATTACTAATAAATGAATGAGAACATTATAAAAATCCATTCATAGTTCTCTATGTCTCTGTTAAGTTTGATATCTGGTGTTTTGCCGATCGGCCTGTGTAGAGGGCAGGGAACTGTACTTGCATCAGAAAGGTCCTGGGTTCGAATCCCGGGCAATGCATGGATGTTTCGTTCTCTCTCTGTGTGTTCTATGTCCTTTTTCCTTTGTGTGTGAATGTGACCAGCCCTATAAAGTTGTGGTTGTGTGAACGGCGTGGCAGAAGTCGAATTCCTGTCCATAGATGGCGCCACTAAAAAACAGGAACAATCGCACCCCCACTGCCTAAACAGGCATACGACAAAAAAAATCTGGTGTTTACAGAATGCTGAAAACTGATCGGCGTAATATTTAATGATTAAACACATCAAACATTCCCTATGTGATTTATAGGGACAAAAAATAAGCTAGCATACCGTGATAAAAATGTCTTAATCTATAGGGTCAATAAATTATAAGCTGGAAAAGTATGAAAAATATCTCTGCATTTATCGCGTGATTTTTATTTCTTCTTTAAGATTCAAAATTCGTCTATGCATTTTTCTCTTAGTTTGTTCGCATTAAAAGCAACCGCTTCCGTGAAAGAACTGCTTTCTCAGGTCTTCACACGCCGAGTTTATACGTACTAAAGAGTACGTATTGATACCAATAGAAGATGTAATGTGAGAGCACCGTATTGATGTCACGCCCGTATGGTTTTAGATCGCTAGAGTCAAAAAGGCTCGTTTCATATATTATATTGTAGGGTATTTACCACTACAAAATTACAACTACAACTCACTAGTATATAAGACATGTTAACTCGATTCTATGTTGGGGTACCTTTTCATAGATGAAAGTTGACATTGTCGATATCTACTCTCCCCACATTGGTGACCTCCGGACGTGATGTGAACGCACATATCTTGGCAGCAACGCCCACTTCGATATGAACACACCTACGCTGGCAGACACGCCCACTTCGATCTAAACACGCCTACCTATACATTAACGCCTACCTCGATGGATGGTCCACATGGAACAGTTGACTTGCTACTTATCCACCTCCTCTCGCTGCTGCTACTCAGTCTCGTCACGATCACACACAGCGTCGGCTTGCATTCACTCGACTGCTAACCGCAACACAGGAGCGACTACGACCGTGAAGTTAATACACCTCTCACATTCAGCACTCAAAAAGTACGGTGATCTAAATACAGCTCTCCCGGCTTCTCACAAACAGCAGTGAATCAACTAGTGGTATCCGTTCATCGAATTCTATCATGGATATAATTCTGGTGGAGGAGTACTGTAGGGCATCTACCACTACAAAATTGCAACTACAATTCACTTGTATATAAGACATGTTAACTCGACTCTATGTCGGGGTACATTTTCATAGATGAAGGTTGACATTGTCTGTAACTTCTACTCTTCCCACAATATCTTTGAAGGAAGAATCATGTGATAACGAATATATCATGTCCTTGAAGGGGTTAAAAGAAGTTATAACTTTAGATATGTGATTAGAAATATAGACAAACTAAAATCTTTTACAGCAAAGATATTGGTTTTTTGATTACCCACTGAAACAAATAAATGACCAATCATAGTAAATATTTTGAATTTAATATATAACCTACTTCTTTTTGAACGGTTCGTTCGTCATTTGTTGAACAAACTTTAAAAGAAATCCTCAACTTCGTAAATGAGATTTTTCTCGTATTCCATACTATTTACGAAGTATAAAAGCTCTTAATTTAATATTTAGTTAAAATTGTAAATTATTTCATCAAATAGATCTATGTTTCTTAACTATGACTAGACGTATTTTGAGACCATAGTTATTACGATTTGGAAGTATATGTAAATAGAAGACATATATGTTAACATTCTGCATTATATTACTTACATTGTATATCGCATAAATAAAAGGATTGTAACAGGAGTTACTCATTGCTAGCCAGTGACAGCCAAACCATATTAGATTGATGTATCGGTATCTGGAAAGAAAATAGTCAATGTAGAGAAGCCAATACCACATTAAAAAAAAGCAGAAATTGCAAGAAATAAGTGAATTGGGAGAAAGAAAAGTGTAATTTTAGTAAATTGGATGAAATTAGCTCTAAAGTTTATACGTTAATCAAAGCAAATAAAGGTTTATCCTTTGTAGATAGTAAATAAATAAAGAAATACGGTGCCTTTTTCATGTTGTCAACTTTCTATTGAAAAGAGCTCATAAGCATTTCCCTCTATTCTGTAACATGTTCGTGTCATAGCATTTGCACTCATTGCGCTTTAAATTTTAGCTAAAAAAAGGATTTTGATGGCAACTTTCCAAATGTTTCTTACCAAGTACATTTGAAACATTCCGAAAACACCCACTAATTGCCACTTAATACTTCCACTAGATGAGACTTTTATAAATCATACAATTAACAAAATAAATTTAAGTTGAATAATTAAGTCTGAAATCAGATCTTCACATGAGAAATCTCAACTAACACAAAAATGTTGGAAATAACTTTTTTCTTCCTCAGATCATCCCATTCTGATCATCCCAATTTATTCCAAGAATGAACCACAATGGAATGAGTTTATATCAAGGGTTTTAAATCAACAAACCAAGTATTGACAAAAGCATTTCATTTGTAATTTTCCAGCGTGTCCGTTAAAAAGCTCTAAAGTAACTAGTTGTATAAAATCTTTCATGAAATTGATCACTCTTTATAATCTCTTTACGTCCTTTTTCTATTCAAAATGGGCAATCAGAAAGATTTTAAATTTAAATTAATCAGTAAGTACACTGAAATAGTCCGGTGATTTTGAAAATCTGTTCGACAAATAGAAAAAAGACAATAAATGCCTAGTTCTGCCTAGGATACAGGATTCATTTTACTCATATTTCAAAGCAAGTTACAAAGTTCATCAACAGAGGGAGCTATTTACTTGGAAGAACTACAAACAATGCTTCCAGTTGCATATCAGGTCAAACTCTAAATATCTGCAAGGTTGTTGCTATATTTCCTTTTTTTCGACAGTATTATGGTTTCGAAATTTGGTGAGAAAACAATTTTATTTTCTTATCAGAATACAAAATATTGTAACTTTTTTAGCTCCTACAAATTCTATTACATTGATTTTTAAAATAGTTTTTCGCTGTGCATACATTCCAGTATATAATTTCAAAAAAAAAATTGTTCATTATGCATAGATTAAATGTTTAACTTGGTTCACAGTCTTTGAAAGAGAAGGTATATAAAATATAGATCGTACCTTTTGAAGGCTCGTTTGTCTAATATAGCTTATTTACAAGTTGAAGATGAAATATAAGGTTTTAAATACCAACGGTATAATTTTAATAAATGGAATAATTAAAGTATTTTAGTTAATGATAGTGACTCATGAAATGGCAATTTATTAAAAATGGAAAGAATTTATGAGAAATAGGTAATCAGTAATTTATAAAAAAGAAAAAATTCAAAACTTTTACATTTATGAAAAAGGGTAAATCAAATAAGCCAATCATGAAATCACGTACCTGTTTATTTCAGGCAGAATTTCTTGAAATGCGTTGTAAAGTTGAAGGGGTAACCAACATACACCAAATAAGGTAACAACAATAAACATCATGTGAATAACCTGCATAAATAGGAGAAAAAATATTTAGGTTAAAACAATAGCAAAAAAAACATTTCTCTCGAACATGATCATTTCAACATATGGCCAATTTTGCCAAATGCTGCAAAATTAAGTTTAGCACCAAAATAATCTATATGAACCTAGTATTAAGACTGGGCACGTAATAATGACTCTTTTGAATTTCAAGATAAAAATAATCATGATAACTTATGAACATAATTAAACTTAATAACATAATTGAACTGGGATAAGCCATTCTTGAAAAAAGGCTTGCTTGGCATAAAGTAGTTAATCATCTGGTTTTGAGTTGTTTGTAAGAAATCAACGTTGACAAAATATAGGGATGTTGCTGAAGCGTTTAATTTATTGATTGTTTATCCGCACACAAAATAATTATGTTGAGAAGAGTTTGTTAAGCTAACAACTTGTGCACCTGAACAACTTTGACTTGTAAGTATATAACTGTTAATTTCTTAGAAAATTTATATTTGTGGGAAATTTAATAACTATTGGAGGCATATGATTGTCTTGTTTTCATACCTTCATTTTCACGCATTTTTTGTTTTACCTGAGCAATAATACTGCTTGATGGTTTTACTTTGATCACCTCTCATTAACTGTCGAACAATGCCAAAAGGACTAGTATGTGTTATAGACACAAGCATTGAGAGTCCATATCTCAGAAAAATATCTTCAATCTTTAAAGAAAAATCTTCAATCTTTTATAGAGAGAAGCATCTTCAAAATATTACCTGACAAAAATTTAATTTTTTTTGATCTGAAATCTAGTGACAAAAAGCCGTTTACTTTTCCTGAAAACGTAAATGAATCAAATATTTCTCCGCAAAATTTTGTTTTTAAAGCTTTATCTCTAATTAAACGATGAAGAAAATTTGATTTTGTATTTTTAAATATTTCTTCTCATATATTTAGTCCCATTTAGTGCAACCATATATTTTTTTCGTTTCTTTAATTGTTTTTTTTCTGATAGTAGAAAACAAACATTTTATTACGAGAATCTAAAACTTTAATGGGTATCTAATGTAATTATGATTTAGAAGAATAACATATAAAAAATCTTTTTTATATGACCTCAAATATATTTTTTCTTAATTTAGCTCCCCCTCAACAAGAATATAATTTATAAGTTTTCTTGCCTCATACGTCAATGAGCTCATTTTAAACTCAATTTTTGTGGGCGAAGTTACCCCGGTCGTATGTGTAATTTGTCTAAAACGTCCTGTCACGAGAGGACAAATAAAACGAGAGATTCGATCTAGAATTGATTTTCTCATACCTGATTTTAGTCGAGATACCGAAAAAAGAATTGAGGTGGAGATTTTAAATTCAAAGATCGATATTTCAAAACTGGAGATTACGTTGCTGTTAGAAATCTTTAAAAACCCAATGCGAAGTGAATTTTGGTAGTAAGCCATGATGGACATGGACGCTGGACACATCTCTGCACCTATTTCCTTGCAGGTGGCCATCTATCAGAAAAATACTGTGGGCAAGAAAACAAGCAGATACATCGGCTACATACCACACCTTCCACGATGAGTCCCAACCACCAGAGCTAGGCCCAACGTCTGGCCGCATCTCCCTCCAGGATCCTTAATTTATTGTTTATTTATTACTTTACAATTATTTCGAGAAACAGACATTGTGTAACTATTGTAGAAAATTGAACATTAATTGAGATCCATGGTAGCTGGGCTCCAGAAACAGCGACCAATCAGGGGAAGCGTGGCTAATCATTACATATCCTAAAAACATATCTGGATAAACAAATACGTTGCATAAACTAGTATAGTAAAATCGCTGATACGATAAAAGAAAATTAATGGGAAGTAGGAGAAATTATATACTTAGAATTTATATGTGGAACACAATTTGCATTTGAGGTATTGTTAGTATCAATTATATATGATTTTTAGGAACGGTTGTGAATAATAAAACCATGGTGGACAACTACATCATGCGGTTAACGTAGACAATTGTGGAGACTCCACGTTGACCATATCACAAAAGACGGTAAATTTAGAGATAATGAACTGAGTTTGCTATTCCAGAAAAAATATATAATTTGCAAAATAAAAAGTTTAAAAAATTACTAATAACAATTGTTCCATTGTTCTTGTTCGATTGTTTTTCTCAGTGTGTATATACATTTCCTTACTTTCACTCATTATTTGCATGATCACAAACTTGAAATTTTTCCAGTTTAAATTATTTAGGCCTTATTAAATAGAAAAGTACAACTCGTTGTTTTGAGTTTCAATTAAAAATAAAAATCCGGATTGGGTAGCAAGATTTTTAATAAAATAAGCATGAATATTGTATTAAATTATTTTTTTAAGTGACAGTTTCAAGACATTTTGCTCTACTGTAAAATCATTTCAAAGCTAATTTCCAGAAAAAATATTAGGAGCTTTTATAATATGTCAAAAATTCTAAACATATTATATTTAGAGTTACTGAAACTAGTGAATTCTAATTTTATTTTATATGCAGGCTATTTACTATATATGCTATGATCTTAAATTACCAAAATGAAGATAAATCTTTGAAGATAAAATATAAAATGTATTATGCTATACACCGAGGGAACAAAAGTCATAGGAAGCTTAGTAATATTGTATCGGACCTCCTCCAGCTATATAAAGTGAAGCAACTCGACTCGAGAATCAACAAGTAATTGGAAGTCTCCAGCAGGAATATTCAGTCCTGCAGCTTCAATAAATGTCCATAATTGCGAAAGTGTTGCGAGTGCAGGATTTTCTGCAAGAACTGATCTCCGGATTATTTACCATGAAAGTTCGATGGGATTCAAATTGGTTGATCTAGGTGGCCAAAACATTCACTGGAATTGTCCAGAAAGTTTTTCAAACCAATCGCGAACAATTAAAGGCTGGTGATATTGGAATACTTATAAATTTCATGTTTGTTTCGGTACATGAAGCCCGAAACTGACTGTAAGTGATCTCCAACATAACCTTTTCCAGTCAATCGGTGCAACTGGACCATAGGACCCAGTCCATGCCATGAAAAAGCAGTTCATGTACACACCGTTATGACTCAACTACCGGCTTACACAGTGTCTTGTTGACAACTTGGGTTCATGGCTTCGTGGGGTTTGGGCCACACTCGAACGTTCCCATCTTCTTTGAGCATCTGGAATTGTGACTCATAAGACCAAATTGCTCCTTTCCAGTCTCCTAGGGTCCAACCAATATGGTCACTAGCCTAGAAAAGACGCTGGACGTGATGTCGTGCTATTTGTATAGTCACTCGACTTGGTCTTCGGCTGTCATATTCCATTACAGCCAAATTTCGAAGCATTGTCCTAATGGACACGCCCCGCAAAAATTCTGAAATTCTGAAAAAAATTCTGTAAAGTAAAAAATTCTGTACAAAACCTTTTACCAGAGCTGCAACTTAGGTTTAAGGTTGAGAGTGCCAGCATTAAAACTGTAGTTTTGATCAAAGTTTTCATCCTTCATGAAGGCTGTAGGTTTTTTGTAGATAATTTACTTTCACAAAAACTGCATCTTTAATAAAGTTTTTTTTTTGCCTTAAGCAAAACTTGTGCCAAATCTCTTAAACATTTGTGGAGGGTTTTTTTTTAATTCCATGCACTACACTCAGTGTTAAATATAAGAATAAAAATTTTGAAAATTCAGAAAGACGTTTAACCATTTTTTACTAAGCTAGAGTAAAAAGAAAAAATAATAATTTCTGGAGTATTTTGTACATTTGGTCTGTTGTATCTCAGTCACATCTATTGATTATTGCTTTAATTACCTTAACTTTTCTAAGTCTTTGAAAATTTTACTTATTTTTCATATAAAAAATAAGAAGATGTTTCTAGCATGATCACAAAAAATAATAATTTAACCAATTTTTAAGCTGGACGTAGCATATTTTTGAAGATCACTTGAGATATTCTGGATCAACTGTTAAAATACATATGTGCAACGTTGACACGTGCCAAGAACTGGGAAAAAAATCTGCAGTTTAATAATTGGAAATTAAATTTAACTTATTAAAAGGCATTGAAAAAATAATGGCAATAATTAAATGAAAGAATGAAATTACTAAGCATATGGTTATCTGCTAATCCTGCAATTTAAATATTAGCAAGACAAAAAAATCTCTCGCCGTCTCTGAAACACATGAATGTTGAGGGTACGCAACAGGCTTGCCACCAGTAGGAGATTCTCGCCAAATGGCGATAAAACGCCAATTTTCCTTAAATTTGCGAAGTTTTGTTTAATTTTTTACTTATTAATTTTTTTTTAAATAAACATCTACAGTATTGGAACTGAGAAGTTAATATATGTATTAAAATATGCAGATATTATGAAATAGCAGTTTAATTGAAAAAAATTATCTTTCTATCACTATATACTTTAGTAAAAATAAAGAAAAATCACTAAAAATATTGCAAATTGTAATAACATAAAAATAAAGATTTTTTATATATATTATAACAAAAAAGTAATATGCATACATTCGTCTTTTTTGCTGATTAAATGGAAAATAGCAAATTTTTTCTGTCTTCAGAAATTCTGATAAATTCCTTAAAAAAAATTTAAAAAATAAAAAGTTTTAAGATTTTTACTACATACTGTTTAGAGTTGAATAAAAATATTTTTTTAATCATTACCGATTAAATTGCAAATACAATATTTACTATTATCGAAGCATTTTTACTGGATACAATACAAAGTGGTAAATAATTAAAATTTATTGTAATTTCTGCAGATAATTTTTTGTATGAACTATATTTTTAACTTAAAAAATTAAATACATTTCAATAATACTAATTTGATTTGAGCAATTAGGAAATATTTTTCCTTGCGGGTTTATATAAATTTATAAAGATACAATGCTTCAGATGCAAATTGAGCACCCTAGCTAATCGGAAAATGTTCAAAGAAAATGTTGGCTAAAAATTTTATTCGATTATGTAAATTATGCCTATAGATGTCATCCAGTATCAATACTACATTTATAGTGTAAAAGCACTTTAACTAATCGGACATTAGTCGAAATTTCAATTGACTGTTAATTTCTTATAGTAATAATATGGTGATAAATTCTGCGTTTAGCAAATTACTCAAGAAATAAAAATTATTTAATTTTACATAAAACTCAGAGATCTAGTTTAAAGTTTAAACACTAAAGATTTTTGGGAAATGACTGAAATTTCAGCCTGTGATCAATTAACTTTTCGATAATATTATTATAAATTCTGATTGTAATCTTTAGAAAATGATTGAAATTTACATTGTCCTTAAGCACGGAGGTAACTTTATATTGCAAGCATTATAATAAATCAGAAAGTATCAAATTTTATTTAGCAATAATTTCGCGATAAATTCAGCATATAGCATTCGAGAAATGATTGTAATTAAAACTGTAATCCAGCAAGGAACTTCAATTAAAATTTAAATTCTCTAATTAGCTTAAATCTCACCAGAAAGTTTTAGTTGACGATATATCCTTCTTTAACATTTATATCACTATAAGCCAAGTCTGTAACATTAATATCATAATAAGCCTATAATTACTTTTAGCCAAGTGTGAGAATCATTCACAACCTTTCCCTTTCGTAACACTACTGTTTCAGACAATTTTAAATAATAATATAATAATAGCCGTAACTCTCTAACCAAAGTTGGTTATTAGAAACTCTAGTTACTACCTTGGTGTTAGACCATTATTCCCCATGGTTCGATCAACTGCACTAGCTTGTTTTTTGCTGATTTCTCCGCGTGCTCTTTGAATTATTTATTTTTTCCCAGACATCTTCTTTTCAACATTTTTGTTAGATTATTAAATCAAGGATCCTAAATTTAAATATGTAAATTTTCCATAGTTCATTTTAAGAGAAGATGTAAAAAAATTTTGCATTTTTAAAGCACGCCAAGGAAAAAAATATTTAGCTTAATGCCTAGAAAACCAAAGATGTAATTTCCCCAAGTCCTACTACTGATTTATAAATGAATGCATTTCCTTTTAAGATTGAGGAAAGCTGTCCTCATGTTCTGAAAAAACGGGAATTTCATCAGAAGAGCGGGACATGGAATAGAACACGGTAAGTTTTGTTACTGCATCAGTTAACCCCTTACCCTCCGCAGTAAACAGTAAAACATCTCCCACCACGATAGTTATCCAAAACATTTTTTTTTATCGAACTGGTATTTGATAGATACACTAGGGAGTACATATTTTATTGCATTTATGCAAATACTTGATCTTGCCTGATTCAAGAGTGGAGATTTCAAACCTGAAATAAGTTTTGCTTCTAAAGCTACAAAAAATTTTAAAATGACATTTTCAGTATACTCTTTGTCGAAATGTACAAATTTAAGAACGTTATATATAAAAAAATCATGTAAATGCTGTGATAAACTTCTAGAAGAGTTAAGGAACATCATCAGGTGTTAACTGCATATGAACCCATGTCCGGAAACGTCGTCGTACATGGCTAGGGGCTTTTAGCCTGTTCAGAAGCGCATGAATAAACAGTTCATATATCTGCGTGTGACGATATTTCTGGTCACGGGTTCTTATGCAATTTTAATCCTAGTGATGTGCCCTAACTCATCTAGAAGTTTGTCTAAACATATATATACCTTTTGCTATGTATAACGATATTAAACTTGTAGATAGGGTCTCCTACCTATTATGACCTGTTCTGAAGTATAGGACTAAAGAGTTCATATAGCAGCGTATGACGAAATATCTGCTCATGGATTCTCATGCAATTTTAATCCCGACGATGTGCCCTAATTTCCTTAGAAATTTTTCTCACCGTTTGTGCTATCTGGCTCGTATCTATAGTGTTTTGAAACTTGAACATTTCGACTGAAATGTCAACTTTAAAAAAAAAAAAGAAAAAAAAAGGATTGCTGGGAGGAGAAAATTGATTGCAGTTTTAAAATTAGCGATTAGCGATAATTGATTTCACCACTTGAATTTTTTTCCTACTGATTCGGAATATTTAATATTGTCACTTTTATTAACTGTAACTGTTACTGTGCTTGAATTTTTTATATTGTGCTTTAAGGAGGCGTTTCATTCAATTGTTGATTTAAAATTTGTAACTTTTAGGTGTGATTTTTTTTCTCAAATTTATAGTGATATTAATTTGTGGTAAAAGTTTTTTTCTTGTCTTTTCATTAAGGGGCCTCGGGGCACTGTTAATTTTGGTAAAATTCCACTAACCACTAACAACAGAAAGGCTCCCGTGTGTTTGCAGGCAGTGTGTTCCCTGATAAAGTACTGTTCTGCAAACACGCATTTATATTTTAGTTTTAATTATATTTAATTATTAAGAATTTATGTCTTATTTATAGTTTATATAATACAAATTTGGTTTCAGCTGCGTTGTGCACTTTTCCAATTTGAATTAACTTTGTAAAGTTTTAGTGTGTTTATTTACCTCTTAGTTATCACTATTGAATTAGTAAATTGTTTTGATTTTGTGATTCAATACGAAAGTATCTAATATATGTTTTAAAAAAAATCTAATATTTCCCAGCTTTATCGTTATTTGCCTGTCATTAGCATAATTGATAGTTATCGTTCCCGATAATTATCGTTGATTTACTGTTGCCGATAATTATGATTGATTTTAAATTTAGTTTCGATATTTATCGTAAGATATAATGTTCTCAAAACATAATGGGAATAATTCGGAATGCATAATGGTTTCAAGAATACATCGATAGAGAGCCAAGCTTTAATCGAAAAGAGAAGAAAAAATTTAAAAAAATTTCGAACTATGATTTAAAAGCTACTAACCTTTTTCCTATTTTTCAAAATGGCAACATCTCGTCCACCTTGTTCATTTCCAGGTGTCTCTGTAGCTTTAAGTCTCAATCCGATTGTAATGTAAACTAAAGATATGAGGAATAGTGGCACCAGGTACTGAAGAAATACTAAAATGTGATTGTACACCTTCCATGTGCTAGCAGATATGCCGATGTTGTGACAAAAAGGCTTAGTGAACGCTCCTGTTTCTGAATCAAAAACCATTTTCACTCTTAACGCAACTGCATATGGAACACTGATAAGAGCACTGAATATCCAAATGAAGAGGATTATCCATTTTGCCCGGAGTTTAGTTGTTTTTGCTTTGAGAGGATGTACCACTGCTCTATATCTGTCCAGTGCAATTGCGGCGAGAGAGAAGACACTGACATTAACCGACAGGACTTGGATAAAGGGACAAAAAGCACACATAAATGGCGGCAGAACCCATCTCTGCAGCAAAGCAGCCTGAAAGTGAAAGGGAATAACGAAGAGTCCAATGATCATATCTGCCACTGCCAAATTGGCGATAAAATAGTTTGTGACATTTTGCATACGCCGGCTAAGAGCAACTATTACAATCACTGAAAAGTTGCCGACAATGCTCAGTATTGATATTAGCCCATAACAACAGGAGAGAAACACAATAAGTAGTAAAGGTACTTCATATAAGTCGCTTACGTAGTGTGTTTCATTGGTAATTGCTTTAGCATCTAAAGTCAGATTTATAGTTTCAATGCTAAAATTTGCTTGTGGCATATCTTCTACTATATGTTTCATTTTGGATATACTTCAACAGAATTCGGTTCTTCTTTAAATGCCTCAAGTTCTATGTTAATGAGATAATTTTTCCTTTTTATCTTCTGTATGTTTTAATTTGGTTACCATGAATTGATAATGTCATTATCATTTTTTCATATATTTTTTTTAAAAAATAGTTTTTATTTTTATTAATAAGAAGAAATTCTCAATTTATTTTTGAAATTTCAGCTCCATTTTGACATTCCTAAAAAGGAAAAAAAAATATTATCATAATATTCAAATTAATTTAATATAGTAATTCATAAAACAATAATGAGTATATCCTTAATCCATTTTAAAGCATATTATGTTTTTATTTGTGCTATTATGAACTTTTAATATTTTTAATTTGAATTCTTGAATTGACTTTCTTTGTCAATTCAAGAGGAGATTTTTGTCCATATTGACATTTCTAAAAGGAAAAAAGGCACTATAAGTTGTCTAAAGAAGTAAATAAAACATTAGTAGTTACTAATAATATATACAACATTTTTCAATTATCATTGTCTGAGACTTCTTTTTTTAAGTTCAATTTCTAATTTGGAATATAAATTTCCTTCAAAAACGAATAAAATTTTATTTCCATGTTGTCATTTCTAAAATGGAAGGGAAAAGCGACTTTATAAAAATAATTAATAAATGAATAATTGAACTAATAAATGAATATAAAAATAATTAATAAATGAATAATATGATGAAGCAATGAATTATGGTAATTAATAAATAAATTATTTGCATTATTGTTAATTTTATTTTTCGAACTTTTTAACACTAAAAATAATTAGAGATATAAAATAGAGAGACAAAAAGCAAAATAATTAGAGATATAAAATAACAAAATTAAAAAAAAACTTAATAATGAAGCATAACATTTTCACTTTTATAAAACTAAGAAAACATTCCTTTTTTTTTAAATTTTGAAAATTTAATTTTTTAAACTATTCATACCATAATTGTGAGAAAAAAACGTTTTAGACATTTTCTTTGGAAAATAAAAACAAAAGATTTTTTTTGATAAATACCACTGACCTGTTTCTTTCTGGTAAATAGCAATCTATTAACAGTTTTAGTTAGTGAAGTTTGAAAAAAACATTTTAAAATAATATAAGTATTTATAAAATGTGCCCCAGAGAGCTTTATTAAATACTAGTCTGATACAATTTTAATAACACTGTTAATAATTTATTTCTTTCAAACATCAACAATACATATATTCATAAATCTGCAAGTAAAAACAAAAAAAACTTGCACAAATACGATTGTTAAACAATTACTGAAGCATTGCTTTACGTTTCAAAAATACAGAACTGAGCTTATGCATAAAAGAAGCCAGATCAAATCTCATGTTCAGAACATAGAAGAGTTTTAAATATCTTCAAACTTTAATTTGTTATTTTATGTTTCTTCGCACGCTGCTTTGTATGCTTTTGATAACATGTTTTGTGCTCGCTCTTTTGATGTGAGTAAACAAACTTTAAATCCTTTCAAATTTTATTATAGCATAATAAGGAGACTTGGTTATTTTTCTATTTTGAGAAAATTTAATAAAAATAATTCACCTTTCTTAAAGTTCTTAAGACGCAAACATAACATTTTAAGTATTCTCATCTTTTCTTAATATTTGTGAAGTAAGTGCGTAGGTTATTTTTTATCTAAGTATTCCTTTCACTTGAGAAGAATATTGAAGATCTGAGAAATAGAGCGGAAGTATAGAATTTCTTTTTCTACTTTTATAAAAGTTATCGTTAGTTGTAGAGAAAAGACATAATTTAAGTTAGGAGGACATTCAAATAACATCTTTCAGTTTTGACCGAACGTTAAAACGTTAGAAATTCAATTTGACCTATTTAACTAATTTTTTAATGAACAAAAATTTATAATAACAAAAATTTTTAATATTCATTAATGAAAAAAACATTTGTTTTTGGATCAAAAATTTAAGGTTAACCATGAAAAATGAATCATAAGGCAGAAAGTACACTACAGTGTAACTCTTGCCTTATAGTTCTTTCCTTAAGTAAAACGTCTATTCTATTAAAAAAATAGAATGATAATTATTAAGATGGAATAATTATTGTATTTTAACTTCAATGATACAATACCTAAAAAAACTATAGCTCCCTTACTGAGACAGGTAAGCTCAAAAATATATGTCTACACTATTAAGATTGTTGTTAAAACTAAGTTGTATGTTTTATTTTTATAAATTTTATTATTAAAATATATTTTATCACTTCTACAAAAGTCCGTTCCTTAAGTTTCATATTAATGTTACATATTGTTCGTGCGCTAACATTACAAATTTTTGATCTTTTCACATTAATTGTGCCTCTATTATAAAGAAAGTGTTGCAAATTTTTTTTCTTACATTTTTAAGCTGGTAATTCACATTTTCGGGAGTGTATGAGTAAGACAAGAACTTTAACAAATATTTTATTTTATTTCTCTATCTTAATACTTTTCCTTAATTTATTATTCAAAACGAAACACGCGTTCTCACACTTATTATTTACTTTTGGCATTTTACTATAAATTTAGGAAAAATGCTAGACTTGAAATTTTAAATTTTTGCATTAGCATTAAAGACCGGAGGGAATTCTCGAGCCGTTNTATTTACTTTTCCACTTTTCCAATACTCTATACTCTACTATTTTCAAAAATACTCAAAAATTGTACAAGTTTTGAAAAGGGTTAAAAAAGCGCATCTATTTCTTAAAAAGAGGCTTTTACTAAAAACCACATCATTTGACGGTCTTATGTTTCTTCGATTTGTAGCATCCTCCAGATATATCTTTTTTAAGTTTCATCGTTTGTTCCGTGCTCATAGTCATTACATAGAAACGAAGCAAGTCTAAGATGTCACACCGAACTGTTTTTAGCTCCTGGCGTTTTGACATTTTATCGCAGTGATGCATGCGAACCTGTTTCCCGAATGGGAAGTTTATTGCACGCAACAAATTTCTTTTTTATAAAGTACCTTGTATCGTGTAAAGGCTACCCATAAAATAACCATCCTTTGTCTGTTATTTAAACATAAGTCGATGAAATAAGTAAAACTTTTTTTTACTTCATGAAAAAGATATCAGTATTATTTTATAGGTTTGAGATAACGGGGATTTGCTGTTCAAGTTCTTTGAAGTTCTGGCATAATAATTATTATGTTACTGCGCAATTTTTTTGATTGATTTTTAATTTTTGTATTTTTTAATTGTTGCATCATTTTTGAGTTTTAGTATTATTTCGATTTTTAAAGAATATCATCAATTATTTAGAATAACTTAGAATTTCTCTTTTATTTTAGCCTATGAAGAATTTCAGTGCTGAAAGTTAAAATTTTTTATTTTTTTCTCTAAAAAAATTTTATTTATGATAGATAAAAAGAGAAATGAATTTGTTCTACAAAAAGAAACTTGATCCTAAATTGTTGTATACAGGACAGTCCGTTAAGTTAAATTTAGTCTGACGTATAATCTCAACTCTAGAGGTGCCACCGCACCACTAGAGTTAAAGGCACTACATTCTCTGGAAAACAAGCGAATTGTTTATGATAGATAAAACTCTAATTTTTGTCATTAAGAAATATGCTCTAGTTCGCATAGTTATGAAGTAATCGAGAGACATATCGATACAATTAATAAAGGAGCCACATTATTCGGCATTTAAGTATAATTGGCATTTTAAAGTTGAGAGGAACTGTGTAGGGCTGTTTTATTACGGAAAATGTTGTAATTTGCTTCACTTGAACGATGTACACAATGTTAAGTATCGTTAGCAGAACTATAAATATCAAATAATTCGTATTTCATAAAGTGACTTTAACAATACAGAACAGAATATGTCAGACAACTTTAATCATTTTGTGCATAGATGGCGCTACTTTATTTATTATTACTGATGATGTTAACGTTTTAACGCGGCGTTCTCTGAGTTGGAGCTCTTTGGTCGATTTTTAAGAAAGAAAAATAAAGAAAAATTTATAAAATAAAGAAAATAATTTAATTTTTTTATTTTTGTGAATTTTAATAAAATTTTCTTTATTTTAATAACTATGAATTATTAAAATAAGATAAAAAATATAAATTAAATATTATATTCAATTTTATAAAATTAATTACAATTATTATATAAAATAATTAGAAAATTTAAAAATAAAATAAAGAAATAATCTTAAGTAAAAAAAAAATATCGTTTACACTCAGAGGTATTGTAAAGTCTTTTAGTGAGATGGATAAACTTCCAACTCATGTCTTCCAATAGTGGCATAACACTCCAAATAGCCTCTGGTTTTTCTTATTTTTATATTTATTTTTGAGTTCTGGTAGCTTTTTAGAACAACAATGGATAAAAACTCGGCTTCGCACATGTATGGAATAGCAAAGAGACTGGGAATACCACGCCAGTTTTTCCAGTTGAATATCAGCATATTACTGCAAATAAGATAAATTTTAGACTTGAAATCGTGTTCAGTTCATTGCACTCCTTTCATCGCCCTTTCCGAGAGGAGCACGTTATGTGAAGGCCTGAAGGGTTCCAAACAATGCAAACTAATGCGGTAATTTTTTAATTATAAAAAAAGAAACAGTTTAATATTTATTAAAAGATTATTGACACTGTTAGATTATTGACATTGCATTTGTACTAAAATGCAAAATTCGAAAAAAGCATTTTGAAACAAAAATATTTTTCATTCATATGCACAAATTTACCAATAATTGATTTAGCAAATTTAAAAAAAATTCAATGAGGAATAAATTTTTTTCCTAGGCCTAAATAACTGCAAGTAAATGCAAATTTGAAAAATTATTGCTTGGAAGTAAGTTGTGTCTGGAAGATTATACCTTTAATGCAGAAAAAGACACCGGCGTTTTATGCTGTATTTCATAATCATAAATTATTTAAACTCTAAATATAATATTTTTAAGATATTTTGACCTGAATTTATACAAAATAATGAAAAATGTATTAAAAATATGTTTATTAAAATTCTTTGTCAAAAGGTTAACAAACTGGAAAATTATTTTTTAGACATACACATAAAAAATGGGATCATGAAAAAATATTTTAATCAGAAGCTTTGAAAAAAAATTAAAAACGTCTTTGTTTTCCTTCTTCTCTACGGACTGAAATTCGA